AGCTGGTGATGTTGGGGCTCACTACAAGCACCAGCTGTTCTCTGCATGTAAGAGCTCTGCGTGTAGGCGATTCTGCACGGGTGCTTAAGTTGTTTTGTCGTGCAATTTTTGTTTTTCAATCGTTCGTGTCTTCACCCGCGCTCCCGTCTCCCAATCCCACATGTCTCGCCGATGTGGGTAGCTTGGAGGTCGTTTTATATCGTGTATAGCTGCGGTATCCTAGAGCAATGGGGGTACTTGGAAGGTATTTAGCGAGTTACTGCACACGAAGTTCAATCCATACGATGAAAGTTGCGCAGTGTGTGGTTCGGCTGATTTGCTCCATGTTGTAAGCACTCTGGTCTTGGACAAAGAAGTTGAGTCCAAAAGTAAAATGCCTCCGACTCGCCCTTGGCTGCCATGCGCGAGTTTCAGATACGATAAGAGTCCTGTCATCGCTACAACACCATACCGCTCACCACTTATGTGTTTGTGCCCTCAACGAGGGCAGCGCTATCGGATGTTTATGGCGAAGGCTGGAGTTGACACAAATTCGCAACTGCAGCATGTACATGTCAATTGTACGTGTGCCACAACTTTTGGCTTTTCCACCGTCAACCATCACGGGCAACCTGCAATTCTCACCAAGACGCGTGACCTAGCTAACAATATGCTGGTCCCCGTAATCGTCGGCGTTACGTCTCGCAGCCCCGACGAATCCAACCACAAGCACAAGTATCGTGAGGGACTCCACCAACAACTCAACTGGTGTATCGGAACCTGTCGCCCAACGTGACACTCCCGACGTGGAGACGGGGGAGAAGAGTGACACCTTCAGCACCTCAGAGGCTGAAGATACTCGCCCAAACCCCCGCGACAGGTACCGGCATTGTACATTTTGCAGCGTATGCGAGAAACCCCGCACAGAACCAAAGGCAGTGGCCAAGTGCGAGGCATGCCCTCGCATCTTGTGCCGCAAGTGCGCCGGCCGCGAGGGCGAGACAGTGCCCAAAACGAAGTATGCGGACGACGTCGTCTTGCCGTTGCATAAGTGCCTTTGCCAGACGAAGGACTCAGAGTTCCCCGAACCCAAGAAGGGCAAGGACCCGCAGGCTCACCTGCTGAAGCATCTTTTAAGGCATGATTTGTCAGTGATGTTTCGAGAGCCAGTTGACGTCGAGACCAATCCGGGATACCTCGGCGTTGTCACACGTGAGGACATGATGGACCTTGGCACCATGAAAAGGAGATTGTTAAAGAAGAAGCAGTACCAGTCTCCTCGAGGTCAGCAAAAGTTCAGAACCGATCTGGAAAAGATTTGGGTCAACTGCTGGAAGTATGCTGGCTACAAGCCAGGCAGCAGCGACGACCGCGCCGGTATTGTAATGTGTACACTAATTTTAAAAACCATGATCGAGAGGTATTACGCAGATTACATGGAGCAGCAAGAGCTCGTCGTTGATGAGAGGTCGTGGCAGGCGGGCCGGGAACGCCGGAAGCGAGAGCAGTTCGCCAGGATTGCCCATACCCCGCTGAACCCGGCATTGTGGCCAAATGGCACCTGTGCCGACCAACTGGATCCCGTCGATGGTTCCGACGAGGAAACGGACTCGGACGACGAAAACATGCGCCTTGGTGACAGCATTTGCCATAAGCGTAAGTTCGGGAGTGATGATTCCGAAGAGCAAGCAGCTTTGAACACCACTGCACACGCCAGCATTTCCTCTGCGCCTCTCGTTGACGGTGGTGGGAGCTCCGCCGGCGTTAGGGTTGCGTGCAATGTGGAAGGCCTTGACCAAAACATGTGTGCATTGGCCGCCATTGGCAAAAATTTGGGTGGTTCCAGTAGCAAGCGATGAGGCACGTTGGGGTGTACGCGGCTGTGCTTGCCTGGCGTTTCACGACTTTTGTTCTGATGCCCGTTAAGGCAGAGCAATAACCGCTTGATGGTTCCGGCGTGACTAGTCTGCCATCCTATCGCTGACTTGTACTTCGCGTTATCGAGTGGGTATTCGGATTGATTGCCTTTGTTTTCTGTCGGGTGGAATAATTTGGGCTCGTGATTGCTCTCGGTCGATGGACCAACTGCTTATGCAGTCTGGTCGCTGAACAGATTCAGCTATGTAGTCGAGTGCTTGCTGGTAAGAGCGGGGAGCTGGGAGCGAGGGCGCTTAAGAAGGTACTAAATGATACATGTGAAAAGGTTTGGTGCATGTACATGGGTGTATTGGATTTACAGCTGCACCCGATTTTTTGCGGTCGAGGAGATGGAGGTAACCGAGTGCTAACACTTTGTTTCCAGATGTAGTCTACATATGGAATGGTAGTACTGGTAGCACGGACAGACAGGGAAAGCGGGTTGTTCATTTACTTGCGGCATGCTGCGGAGGTGACCTTTGAGCCAAATTTCCCTAGCCAGCGTCTATCGAGGACGACTCTTTTTTCACATGGGCTTCCGTGGTTAGATGTCTGAGTTATTTTATGACGGCGTTGGTTCAAATCCCGCCACCGGCCAAAGTGGCGGCTACCACCACGGTATTAAGGGGCACCAAACCCAAGCTTCAAAGTTACAGTGGGAACTTGGGCGTGGCGGCTAAGCGCACCCACGGGCTGAACATGATAAATGGGGCGACATTTCCGCTACGTCTGTTTCTCTAGGAGACCGACAAGGTCTCTAGAGGTTTCACAGAACGGTAAAAAAAAAAAGTGTCTGTTTGTCTGTCTGTCGCCGTTCTCTCCGAAGCTCCGAACCACGGGCTTTTTTTGAGCCGAACGCCCGAGGCGCAAGGAATCAGACCATCCGCCGTCCTGCACTGCTTTAGACGCCCTCCGCAAGTTTGAACTTGATTGGCGCCTCCTGCTTAAGGTTTGGTTGTGTCCGTCCGTGATCGGCCTTCTCGAGCACGAAGCACGAGCATGCAGCAGGTGCTGTCGGCACCAAATTGCTCCGATCTCGACGAATTTGTTCCTAAACATCGCCTAACCGCCATCAAATTGAAGCCGCGTCCAATCTACAGCTGGGTTGACAAGTCCTTCGACGCTGGAATAGCTGCGTGTCTACCAACTTTGCCTGCCAATGAGAGGTTCGAGCCACACTGTTTGAATATCAGTATCCGCTGATAAAGACTGCTGTTATTCGTATTCTCTTGAGTACAACACAGTATACGATGTCACACATCATAAGCGATTTCAGTAGCACAAAACTATGCCAGTTTCAGTGTACGTGATAATGAACACCTAACGCGGTATAATAAGCTATTAAGGAAGTAAGTTCAACTTGAAGAACGATATTTCGGGAAAGGTATCTAGAACGATCCACTTTGATGGATGCGGTAGATTCCGTAACGGTTCGTAGAATGTTTCCTAAATCGGGCATATTTTCCTAGAACGGTTCTCAGGAACGTTCTCAGGAAAAGTCCAGAGTAAGATTAGAAAGGTTGGTTCAGGACGAACGAGTGCATCGTTGTTCGGACGTACTAAAGGGTTCCAGACGGGAATCAATCCCTCCTTTGTAGAAAATTCCTAGGGGATCGAGAGTAGGCTGTAGCATGACCGAAGCACAGCTATTAATAGCTGTATTTATCGATCGGCGTCATATTCCAACAGGAGAAGGAAGAGACGACGCATGTGACTTTCGATGCAACCTTCCGCAGATTGAATTCACGCTGGAACTCGTCGATTGGGGCATACATGTAGGACAACTCACCTACACCGTGGCACCCGTTTCGTTGGAAAACGCCAAGCAGCCTATTCCTCTTTGACTTCACATCAACATAACCATGCTTCCTCCATGTCAAAAAACACCAACTAAACCGACCGTTTCGTATTCGTAGTTCGCCGCAGTCTTCTCAGTGAAGTGGAACTACCCGGGAGGCCCCAGAACAAGGACGTGGCAACGAAACACGAGCTCTGCAGCTGGCCGCACCGAGACATCAAACGCTCTCGGTTACCCGATCATCACCGCCCAGCCAAGGGCATCGCCAAGTCGGGCCAGGCCCGCTCTATTTTTTTGGCCGGCATCCCTACCTCGAAAGCTACGCCAACAAGGACGAGCGTGAGCGTTCCGATACTCCATACATACGGACGCGCCGGTCGAGAACGACCCTGAAGCACCCAACGCGCTTCCCAGCCTTAAACTGGAGATGGACCTAAAATTCAGGATCAATCGCAGGTAGCAACGAACGGCAAACCGCAAACCGTGATCAAACCGTGATGGCTCATCAGAAGCATACCTCCTTCCGAGAGGCGGTCAACCACCATTGCGATATGTACCTCGACGCATGTTCTACGTTTCCGGTCTCGCCAACTTCCGATCACCAGCCAGCACACGGGTTTCATGTTGCAGCGGGTTTCGATGGACTTTCACCAGCTGTTCGAAACATGTGTCAAGGAAGAAACGCACACACCATGCCTATTGTTGCTTGGACACCCTGGGGTGTGGAGAGCCAGGGCCGAACGGGGTTGGAGACGACGCCATCATCAGCGCCAAGACCAAGGGCAGTATCAACCATGGCATGTCTATCGAATGACCGCGGTAGCATCACAGCGAGCAACAAGCAGCGGTGGGATGCAGATCGGACGAGGAGGAGTAAGTATATACTCAAAAGTCGTTTGCAATGAAATGCTGCATGCGTTCAGATCGGGACCATACACACATCCGAGGCTGCCCTTTCGTGACTTGCCTTCCAGGGCCGACGCAAGAGGAAATCGTTAATGATATCACGTGTCATATCTCAAATCTCAACGTTCCGGTAGTGCTTGCTTCCGTACTACAACCTGCAAAACGTTGCGTTACGTCATGTGCGGGAAACGTTTTTTTCTTCCCGATGTGTCTTCGTGTGTGCACGAGGTGTGTGTGCTTGTAGGCTAGCGGCTTGTTTGCCGCCGATCCTGCTGCTGCTGTAACCTGTTGCTCTCTCTCTCTCTCTCTCTCTCTCTCTCTCTACTATTATGTATGTGCCGTTATGGCTCACGGGGCGTTGGTGTGTGTTGCGCAGCAGTCAAAAGGGTTCCCATGAACAATTCAGTATTGAAATCCTGCTCAGCTTTTCCCACCTTGCAGCCGAATTTGGTTGATTTTGGGAGGGGAGCGGGGGAGCGGGGACTTCGGTACGAATGCGAAGCAGACGCACCTCCTCCTCACGAGTGGGACGCAGATTGCCCGCTTAATATTTCGGCCTCGTTCTTCGCGGAAACCAAATTCGGCAGGCATCGGTCTAATGGACCTTGCTCTTCTCTGTGCACGGAACAGCTTCCCACTTCTAACACTGGTGAGATGTTTTGGTTCACGTGTTGAAAACAACGTGCTCTTTCCATGCCCCCAGTCAGAGCAGCTTGTGTATTTAATTCAACGAACACATTTAGCCGCTTCCGAGACAGGAGGGGTGGCGCATAGGTCACACTTGCACCAAACATGATTCTGGAACGGACGCGCATGCGTGAATCGGACCTAACGGTTACTGCTGTAAACAAGGGTACATCACATCATTCCGAAGCACAAGACAACCATTTATTCGGCTCCACGACGTGAGTGCAGCTGATTTGGTCGGCACGCCTGAGGGAAGACCATCCCCTGTGACTCTGGGAAGAACCCATCAATGTGCACCCCGTGCTTGAAATTTCACAGCAGCCTGTCGACTGTTGCGAAGACCAAGTTGTCCCCCGGCAAAAAGTTTCTATGTTTCAAACGTTTCGTTTTCCTCACATATGCAGATGAGCTTGTACCGCTGCGGGTCAGTGACCTCCGACGAAGCGAGAATATCTCCGATAATGGGCACCACTGAAGTGAAAGCAGACGTGCCGTACATAATGCAGGGAATCCGTACAGCGTTCCAACGCCTCACGAACCCAACCGTCGCGAAGACAAAGAACGGCACCTGGCACAGGAGCTCCAGCCACACTAACGCCGCGAACCAGGGTGCAGTAGGCTTGGCCATGAAGTAGTCGTTGTTGGTCTCGACGTGAAACTGTTTGTGCATCAAAGTGGATAGTCAATGTAGGTAAGACGCAATGAATTGCCGGCGTTTGCGTCCGCGCACTCTCGACCACTCCTCATTGTAGTCTAGATGGGTTCTATGTTGGTACAGCACCACGCGCACCTCCATTATCCCCTTCAGAACCTGCGGGAAGTTTTCTCCGATGGGGAGTGCCTGGACATCTAGAAGAAGCGTAATCAGGAGATGCGACGAAAAAAACGCCGTGAAGCCCCATCGAGCGTACTCGGGGATCATGATGGGGTGTCGAGGCCGTCCTTGATAGCGCAGCTGTGAAGGCAACAATATTTAGATGAGAGAGCCAGCCCACATGTTGCAAAGGGCACGGCGGTCACAGCATACAAACGGACGTTAGCAGGAAGTGGGCTCACCAGCGAAACATATTCCAGTCCCCCTTATACAGCACGATGACAGACAGCAACATACACGTAGTAGGGCGGCTGGTTTGGGTCAAACAAACACGCCCAAGAAACTCGACGGCATGGCACAACGATGGCACAACGGCGTTTTTATGCAAACAAAACGTTCATGGCATGCGCGTGTATCATGCGGTCAGTTTGGAACGAAACGCCAAGCGCAGCCCGCAAAGGATATGGGAACACAACTGCGGCACTTCAGTGCCAATTGGAGGGCTTACCTATGACAGCAGATACGACAAAGGCAGCTCCCTGCCGCCAGCAAGAAGACTTGTTCTTCGACACACCACAACAATGGCAGCGGCGGCGGGCAATTGTTGGAGACTCCGTGGGATCAGGGGGGATGGAGAGACCAGTAATAACCAGAAACGGGTATACCCGAGTACTTTATCACCAATTTCGGGTACACTTAGAAATCAACACACTTGAACGCCCAGGCTGTCAGCTGATTGGCCGAAAAACCATTGTACCCGTTTCTGAAAAAAACTCCGTCGGGTACAACTTCCGATGGAATTTGGGAACAGGGACCATGGGTAGGGATAAATTTTTTAAAAGCGGCGCCTCTGATTGGCCCAAACCACCCCATTTGAACGAAGCTGATGATGATTGGGAGTTTTCTGATTGGGTTTTAAAAGCGGCACTTGGGACTATTAGGACCCTGGTGTAACCGATATTGGTTACTACTAGTGTACCCGGAAGAGGCCCATTTCGTACCCAGAAATGGTCATATTATCCCGGCGCCCGGCGAGTCTAAAACCCGCAGATTACAACGTATACCGCACATACATACATACATACATACATACCCGCACGACACACCAGTGGTACCACCGCACATACCCCACAAGAGTATGTAGTCCCACACAAACCACCAACGCTCGTTGACGGGCACATTGCCTCGAAGGATACCAATCTCCGACAGCCTCCTCCGTAGATCGCGGCGAAACCATCCGCCGTGCTCTGCTGCTGCTGCTGGAGCAAACATGTCCAATAACCGCTATTGAGGGCACGACGACCGGTTTTTTAGCGATTGTATAACCGCTAAATAAACCGGGGTGCAGCCGTGTCACGAAATTTTATAACCGCTATTCAGAGCACCCCGCTAAACAGGGAACCGCTAAAAAACCGGGCCCACGACTGTACTACGTTAGGGTGTGCATATATATATTATATATTATATTCGTAATCACCTTGAAAAAAGGCACTCTAATTTCGCATGCTGCTTGTTTCCGGTTGATCAAATTTGGCTGCACCACAACGAACGGCAGCCCCCTGCCCAGCACCAAATTGGTGCAAGCTAACAGTCTCCTGTGTTTTTATCCTGTGAAGATGATATATTCTCGAGTTTAATATCACGGGAGTTTCTAAGCAAAAATGTACAAAGGAGCGAAAGGCCCAAAAAAGTCCTGCCGGTCCATGAATCGAGTTTTAAATAACTAAATATAATATATATATATTGGTCCGATACTTGAACATATCGTTACCGGTGCACAGCCCCGGCTACTGCTCGGATGGAGACAGCAGCCGTGGGGCCGTGGGGCACACACAAACTATTCCTCGGAGCTCTGTTTTGAAACAGCAGTTGTCCAAGCGTCCGTCCTGTTCAAGCGGCGAGTGTTGATCGGGTATCCTGACACTAGCGGGCCTGACCTTGTATCCAAGGCGTCCTCGACAGGTCATCATCATCATCACCATCAATCACGGGCCACCTCCTGTGCCGGTTGGTATAAAAAAAGTTGGCCGTTCATTTGATGCACGCACCATTAAGACTAGTAACCCGTTCACTGCTGCACGCCGCTGCTACTGCTGCTTGATGCCGTCTTAACGGATGGATCCCTAGGAAGAGCCGCCAACAGCGATCCGATGCTGTCTTCACTTCCTTCAATGCGGAGAACGGTGTGACAATCGCCCGAGTTGACAGCTGATGCGTGGGAGAGGTTCCCATGTGGATGGCACGACAAGCAAATAAATGCGGCCGTGAGATCCACGACAATATGATGTCTTAATAATAATATGCTTGATAAAGGTATTCCGGTGAAAAACATCACCCCCGTGCTCGCGTGGGCGCGCGAGCAACCAACCGTAAGCTTTACTGTTTTACATTTCCCATCTGGAAAAAGAAAGTCCCGTGACCGCCGTGAACAAATTCAAGGGTCAAAACACGCGAGGAAAAAGAGAAAAAAAAAGAAAAAAAACTTAGGGACCCTTGCGCACTATGCCCCTGAAACAAAAAAGACAATTAAAAGGCATTCCCAACCCAACGGCGGTGTATCGCGCAAACAAGGCGCTTCCACCGGCAGAAGGCCCTTAACTACATGCGGCTACTTTTACAACAACCAGTCGAACCCAGCGGCGTCTGTCCAGCGACCAGATAACCAGGCGCTACAGGTCAAATCAATCATAGCGGCGAAGATCATCAACATCCTCGAAATCGGGCGCGACAGTTCTCCTCTCTTCGGCTCAAGAAACTCGGGAAGACGACAGACAAAAATCGCCGGCAAAGGGCACCCGTGCAGACATGCCAGTATTTTTACGAACTTTGGTATTTTTACGAACTCGTATTACCTGTATGCGACGGCAAATGCATATGTACGGCACACAACCAATAAGATGGAAGGGGGGGAAATGCAGGGGGGGAGGACGCTTCTACTGCAGAGAGCCAAGGCCAGAAAA